AACTTAATTATGTTAAATATATCATAAATAAATCCAAACTTTATTAAGGGTTTAATTAGATATTCTGTCATATTTAGGACGAAATTGCTTTTAACTTATTTATCTAAAGTTGCTGCTAATTAAATAGCTTACTAAAAGGCCTTGGTTACACACAGTTTTATTTGAGCACTTTTCAATGTTTATTGAAAGTACTTCTAAAGCTATTAATGCTTTAATGAATATCAATGGATTATACAATACACAAACCTAAGATTAGTTTATATAGTTTGTGGTAAATTCCTGATCAATTATTTAATACATTATATATAATTCGTTGAATTGTATTCATAAAGAATTTAGAAATTCTGAAAGCATATTTTTATAATTTAATGAGTATTTATCAAATAAAACGGATTGCTAAATTCTAAATAAGGTTTAAGTAACTTGGTATAAGTTCAAAAGTCAAGTGCTTTTTTATTATAATTATTATATATTTTATATTGGAATTTTATTTATATAATATAAACCTTATAGCACTAACGTTACACAAACTGATCTACGTAGAAGTATGTTATTTAAATACAAGTATTACATTTTTGCTTTTTAAGAATATAAATGTTTTTCAATACTTTTCTTTGACTTGTGTCTCATATTGTTTTCAGTAATAAAAAGGTATTATATAACCGAATACTAATGAAAGCGTTTTTGCTTTTTATGTCTAAAAATAATAATAAAATAGATTTTTATTTCATCGATAAATATATGTAATGTTATATAAATGACAAACAAATGTGTCTACATTGAGTTTGGCTAAACTAATGAAAAATAAAATATATATTAAATTATGAATTTGCTCTGGATATGCGATTCACAAATTGATTTCGTATCCATTATTATCATGTTTTTGGCAAATATTGCAAAACGATATTTTAGTTGCAGTTATGGTTTTGAGGCAAAAGTCTTTGCAAAGTCCTAAGTCTTTAATAACACATAATATTAATAATATTGAAATTCAATTTCTTTATTCACTTTAATCTTATTAATTCTATTGTCATGGGTTTGTGTTATAGTTTTTGCTACAAAAGTAAGTCTGCCTAATACTTTTTGCACTACTTCATAAATTAATCATTTATTTATAGTAAATCCGATTACATTTTTGCTGAATATATAATAAAATAATTTTACAGCAAAATGAATATATATATATTTTTATAATTACAGAACATTCAATACAATAGTTTTTTTTGTATATAACTTCTTATATAATGATATAAATTATCGTAATATAATATTAAAGTATAGATATTTGCAATTCTTGCTAATATTGCAAATGTTAATAAAAAATTTGTATTTAAAATATAAATTATTATTTATGTTTATTAAATTATGCAACATAGTTAATCTTATGTATTATATGAACTCCAGGCCCACAAATATGGCCACAAAAGTTCCCGATTGCGTCGACTGGCAAAAAACAATCGCCTATTGATATAAATACAGACAACTGTTTGGTGGTGAAGGGGGACACCTCTGGACAAAATGCTCTGAAAATTATTTACCCGAAAACCTTCCCTGATATTTCGGTTCAGAATACAGGCTATGGTTGGAAAGTAGATATTCCCGAAGAGTTGGCTATAAAGACGTGTATGTTTTGCATAATTGATTGCATGCAATACTTTCCGATAAATCCATATTTACAAAGTCTTGTTAGAAGTATTAATTTAACTCAAACTTAGCAAATGTTGCTCACGTCTCAGAGAATTAAAATCAATTTTCATTTAATTTATTAATGCCCTAGCAAACAAATAAGTTATAAACGTTTTAAAGTAACAATGATATATGAGTTGAATCTATAAAATATTTAGTGCTCGTAATATACTTTTTCCAGTTTGTACAGAATATTATACTGTACAGTTAGTTGGTATGTTTTGTTGTATTTGTAGTGTATTTTGGAAAAAAGAAAAACATATAAACCATTAAATCTTAATGATTACGAGTAGTGCGAGTTCTAAATATAAATCAGACTCAACTCATTTAAACAAGGTTTGCTAGAAATACATCAATATTTAAATATTACACAAGATAAAGATAAAGAATATATTTTAAATTGAATCTACTAAAATCAATTAACGGTAATGTAACAATTTTAAAAATATATTACTCGTTTAATATCTGTGTATTTATTATTTCTGTTCAAATATATAACTTCCGATCAAAATATGTGTTCATTTTAAACAATTACCAAAAATATTCAATTCGTAGCCCTAAGTGGTGGTCCATTGGCACACAGCTATCGTTTGACACAATTTCACTGCCATTGGGGTAAAGATTGTTGTGTGGGTTCGGAGCACACCGTCAATGGCCGGAGCTATGCAGCAGAGGTATGCCCTCAGCATCGCTATAATGTTGTAATTTTTATTACAGAATATTCTGTGAACACTATTTTCAGTTACATTTCGTCCACTGGAATACCGAGCTATTCAGCACCGCATTGGAGGCAATGCCCAGTAGTAATGGTTTAGCCGTTTTGGGAGTATTTCTCGATGTGGGCAACGAGAGGAACGAGGAGTTGGATCGCCTCCTAACCAACATATGTTTAGTCAAATATAAGGGCGAGAAATGCAAAATCGCACACAACGTGGACGTCGAGAAACTATTGCCGGGTATGCGCGCTCAGCCCTGAAATTAATAAATCAAGTTCAACATTTTGATGCATTATTTATTTACATAGAGAATAAGTCCTATTATACTTATTCCGGCTCATTGACAACACCACCACTTTGGGAGTCCGTCACATGGGTTGTCTTCTCAACTCCAATCCTATGCACAGCCGATCAGGTATTAGGAAAATACCTAAAAGAGTTAGCAATATATAAATAATTATTTTTCTATTTTTATAAATAGATCGCAAAATTTCGAGACATGTGTTACGTAAGTCGTGATCAGAGCCTTATGGGGGGAGAACTTCTTGAAAACTATCGTTTGCCACAACCAATCAATGATAGGACCGTCACTTTTGTCGACATTTAGATTTGACAACAAGTGATCAAACTCGAAGATTTCTCAAATTAGATTTACTGGTTTTACTAACAATAATAAATTTATTTTTTAGACATTACAGCAAATATTTTTCAAATAGTTCAATTTCAATTAGGAACATAATTAACAAACACAAAATAATTAAAATTCTATGTTTAATTAGAATTTCAATGGAATTTGAAACAGAATCTATAATTAAGTATAATGCTGATCCACTTTTTCAACATAATGTTCAAGTTATGCGAAACTAGTAATTACTTTTAAAAAGTAAATTCAAGACATACAACGAAGGTATTTGGAAAATATAAAACAATTTATTTCTTATATAGTTTTTCGTAAAAATCTCATTTTATTATACAGAATATATTTTAGCAATTATTTTTCTTTTTTGATTTTATTAACATTTTTTTGAGTATATTTTTTTGGACTGAATGAGAGCTCAATGTGAGAGTAAATTGTTTTTGTGATTGAATTAAAGTTTGTTATATTTTTTTCTTTATTCAAATAAGTATTAAGTTTTTTGATTGGGTTTGGAATTAGAGGTTTAATTAAATATATTTTATACAATTTTAAGTATTTTATTATTTATATTATATTCTAATTAAGGCTTCCATTAATTATATTTCACATGAAAAAAGACTAATATTATATAATTTAGACACGAATTGAAATTTAAATAAATTGTAACAAAAATAGATTAATGGCAATTAAAAATTAGGACAATAATTTAGACTGTGATAACACAAGTATAGATTCAAAATCAGTGTGAACATTATTAATGAATCAATTGTTAGTAAAATAAGATTTGATTTTGAATTATTTTTTTATAAAACAGATAAATATGTTCAAAATAACTGTTAAAAAGAGTTTATATAACAGAAAAATATTTTTCACTGAAGATTGAATTATAAATTGTTATTTTGTTACTGAGAAATGAATTAAACATAACGTGTAAATGGTTTAACATTTAAAGACTGGTTATAAACAGATATTTTTCAAAAGTATAAACTCTTTTCTGTGTGACTAAATTGATTGTTATTTTAATAAACAGTTAATAACAATACAATAATTCACTTGTTAAACACAAATGCAATTTAATAAAGTTTTATTTTTATTAAGCAGAATAAAAATGCTGTTTGCTTATTATAATTTCATAATTTGCACCTAACTTATCTACGTAATTTCTCATAGTTCCTATAACAGTTTGTTTACCAATATTTCCATTAACGTATGTTTATCCGTTTAGACTATTTACCTACTAAATTCAGGGTTGGGGAGTTATGATATACAGACTTCCAGAGCTGCCGAATGGAAAGTGTACTCAAGTAATAGAAAGTAAGTCTCAACTCATTTGGCAACGACTCTAACGGCCAGAATAGACCGCAACAAAAGAGTTGCGGTATTGTTATAAACCAGACACTTATTATACATACGATATCCCTGTCCACGAAAGAGCTTATCAATAGACCCAATGCTATTGCACTCAACGATTGTAGCAACAGGTAACTGAAAATCATAAAAAGTGAGCCATTATTGACGGTATTAGCAAACAATAGAAAGCCAGTGATATAGAGGAGGAGTATTTGAATCATAGATAAGAGACATGTAGTGACCAAATGAGACACAAATACTAATTCATGACTCACTCCGGCGATCAGCGACCGTTCAAACAGGCCGTCCCTTCTCTCGTGGGTCAACACGAGCGATGAGATCGTGATTATGGATATGTACTGAAAGAATATGAAGTTTGCCGGCATATAGTAGTTATGGACGTACAGATGCTTCGAGTTGGCTGTCCTCTCCACGCTGACAGCGATTCCATGAAACGTGCGATTCTTTTGCGAATAAAGTGTTTTGAAAAACGCGACGAAAGTGTCTGCGAGTGAGTCCTGAACACCGTTTGAATACATGACGATTGAGTTGTCGACGTAAACGCCGACAGAGCTCTCGGCGATTGTCTTATTGCTGACAACGAGGCCGCGAGCGATGCGCTCGTCGATGGCTCGCGAGAAGTGTTTGGGGATCCGGAGGGCGGCGATTGTGTCCAGTCTTTGCACACTTTTGATGGCCTCGTCCAGCGATGAGTAGTTAATCGGTTTAATAATATGTCGATTACTGCTCTTTAGAGAGTTCAGTAGTTTTGTACTGTATTTGGGCGCCACCTCCTCGTTCACTACACCTGTGTTCAGCTAATGATGAAAGTAAATCATTTTAAATCTCTAGTTATTATATAGTATTATTTGTAGCAAACATTTACCGAAATTAAGTTTTTACTATAAATGAGACATAATAGCAACGCCTGAATCGCTGGCATCACTATAATAAGTATAGAGAAATTCAAGTGCAAGAATTTCAGAATATTCTTATGCAGTAGTATTAATATAATCCACAATTTGAGTGATAGTCTGGTTATAAGACTATCATCGCTGTTGTTATCATAGGAATCGTCATCTAAAGTATTGATATCTTTAGAAAATACTCGATTCTTATAGAAAGTATTGACGTTTCCATTCACACGAAACCCTTTGTTTTCAGCCAAACAAAGACTTAGGAAAACATTTTCCAAACTATTTGTGCGAAACAATCGCATCAGTCTTATAGGACTGTCTTCGGCTAAAATCCTGCCGTTCCTCATAAGACCCACTCGATTGGCATTAACCGCTTCCTCCACATAATGGGTGACAATAATTGCCGTCAAACTGTGTTTGCATTCATTGACCAAATAATTCCAGATCTCATGTCTTAGGAGAGGATCAATACCGACGGTCGGCTCATCCAGTATTACAATTGTCGGCCTATTTATCAATGCTATGGCTATTGATAGACGCCTTTGTGTGCCACCAGACAGTTGGCTCACAAGTTGCTTACCCGACGGTAATTTCAGTAGTCTTTTCAATGTTTTGTATCTGAATTAAAATTTAAATAAAATATGAACATTTATTACAACTGTTAATATATCAATTGTTACCATTAAAACAATAATATAACATAACTTTGCAATGCATTACCCATTTCTATAATCTTCTTGAGATAAGCGGTAAATATTTTTAAAGTAATTAAGTGTTTGACTGACTGTAAAATGTTGACAGAGGGCACAGTCTTGAGGCATATAACTGATGACCGACCTGTTATTAGGTCCCACACTGGGCTCTTCGCCCATAACACTAATCAATCCATCTTTTGTCTTAAGAGTACCCAAAATGAGTCTCAAAATAGTGGTCTTTCCGCCACCACTGGGACCCAAAAGTGCATAAATCTGTTTGCGTTTAATTTCTACACAAATATCATTGAGTACTCTATTAGAGCCGTAACTAAACGATACGTTTTCAATAGTTATTGCATTCATATTGTGATCAACACTTCATTATGAATATTAAATTTGTTTTCACAAACTTTATATACTTTGTGATTTTTATAGAGATTTTATCTACATAACTATCATCAGATTTAAGTTTACAATTTTCAACAATTTTACTAATAAAACTTTTTACTGTTATCTTTATTTAAAAATTATACATTTTGACAAATAAAAATATACAATTTTATTTTATTACACTTTATTTAAATAATACATCATTGAATATTAATGTTATCACTGATGAATAAAAAACAATTGACTTCCACTTTGCATTTTTAAATAAAAACATTTTTAAAGTAGTGTAGGTTTTGTTTTTTACCAAAACTATAGTTGATTTGATGACAATTTTTGATAAAGAAAGTTTATAGTAATTCAGACTAAAATAGTCAATAAATTGACAACTTTATTTTATTTCACAATTTAAAAATATTTATAATTAACTACACAATGCAATATTTCTTATGAAAATAAATTTATATTGTAGGTGGATATTTACAATTTTAAACTTTATTATTCATTATTGTTTAATATAAATGATTTATAGTCATAGATTCTTAATTAACTATTTAATTTTAACAATGTACTCATAATATAAAATAATACGATACTTTATAGTACCGGTATGCACATTGTGATAACATGTAAGTTAATTAATGAATAAATATTAGAGTTCATAAAAATTATGAAAGGACATTAATTTTAATAATTACATCATTGAAGTCTATAAATAGCGGAATTGTTTGTAAATACAACATACAGTACTGTGCTTATCTGTATATCTTAATTACTAAACATTTAATTTAAGATTTATTTATAATTGTTTTAATTTGTAATATCTTTCTTAATATTGAAAAATTTTATAATATTGCAATTCTTTAAAATGTTAAAATAATTATTATACTGTAAGATACAATCTTTATATCTATTGCAAATTGCAATAATTGTGTTCCTGATATAATTCCTCAAGAATATTTAACATAATTGTAGTATCTTAATTTAAACAGCATTATAGATAAATATAATAACTAAATTTAAATAATTAAAATAGATATCATTATTAAAAAGTATTAAATAATTTGATTAATAATAAATTTATTAATCAAAGTTCTATATAACAATAATACAGATAATAATGTGCTACAAATGCTACAAATTTTTGGAGAGTCTAATGGAGACATGATATAAAAATAGCATTTACAGAATAATATTGAATTGAAATTGAGGTGAAATCTGGTGGTTGTATACAGAATACATTTATTGAATTTAAAGCATTGCAAGAATTGCAATATTATTACATCATTGGATTCCATATTCTATTCTTAACAATGTAAATAGTGCATTTAAATTGAAATATTCCAAATCATAACAGTATTAAAAATAAATATCTATGATAATATTTAAAAAATTCTTTTATTTTAAAATGTTTGTCACATTAAAATTGAAGTGAACTCTAAATAACTCTATATTTGAATAGTATTATTTTAAATCCTATGTTAATTTAAACATTTTAAATGAATGTTAATAACATAAAATAAATAATTTATATTGTAAGTATATTAAGAATCCATAATAATTTTCCTAATACTGTATTTTTATAATTAAACTATTATTTAGCATAATGTCGGACAAGAATGAACATAAACGTAGATCGGGTAGTGGTTTGGGTATAGCCATAGGTGTGGCCGGAGTGGCTGCTGGAGTGGCCGCTGCTGTTTGGGAGTATAAGAAGGAAAAGAGTGAAATGGATGGACAGCTGATCCAAATGCGAGAAGAGTGCGCCAATCCATTCGTCAGCGTATATAACGTGAATCCAATGGTCGGAGACCTGATTGAGATTCAGAGGAAAAACTACTCTCATTGGGCTGTATATGTGGGAAACGGATTCGTTATACATCTCAATAGCAATGAAAATATATTTGATACTGAAGTCAAATATACGGTCAATTCATTGACGGATGTGGTGGAGGGCTGTGAATGTCGGGTCAATAATCTGGAAACAGCCGCCAAAAGCAAGAATTTGGTGGCACTGGATGTCGATCA